AGGTCGTCTGCGTGGGCAAGGTGACGCCGATTGTGCATTTCACCATGGGAGGCGCTGCATTCGACGCAGAGGCACGCGTGCTGCGGCGAGGGGCGGGCGGCGTGCTGGAGCCGATTGAGGGACTCTGGGCAGCTGGTGAGATTACTGGAGGCGTCCATGGTGACAACAGACTAGGAGGGTCATCTCTGCTCGAGTGTGCAGTGTTTGGGCGAATGGCTGGACAGCAGGCCGCAAAGGCTTTGTCGGGGTGATGGCGTACATGCCCCTGAACCCCTGAACCCGAGCCGCCATCTGTTCCACAAACCGGCAAGACATCATCGCATGCCCGTAACGTTATTCGCACAGATCGCACAAGTCTGACAAGGTGCACAAGTCGCAGTAATTGACTGAATGTTTCGTTATTGATTTCTCCAGAACACCAGACCGTGTCATGTACTCAGGCTACCAGTATCTTCCCCTTCCTTCAAAATGTCATCCAGAACCAGCTCCACCCACAAAAGTAAATTTTTTGCTCCCATATCGTACCATATTTGTATGTAAATACATTTGCAAGCGCCATGCTAAGGTCCGCCCTCTGAGAAGGAGGGCGGCTATCAAAATCCAGAGACAGCACATGCTACCAAATCAAAATGGACACCAAGTCCCAGGCACCGTTTAGAAGCCAAGGAGGCCGTTGAAGACGTCCGCCACCGCGGCGCTGCGGTCGCCGGAAGCCTCAACCTGAGCCTGAGCGTCCTCCCACTGCGCAATGGCCGCGGCGTTGGCATTGCAGACGTTGATGAGCTGGTCGCAGATGCGGTTGGTGATGATGTTGGGGTTGAGAGCATCCTGCTGTCCCTGGGCGACGAGAGGGTCGGTGGGAAGGAAGGTGCCCTCATTGGCGGCGCGGTTGCCACGGCCGAGCTGGAAGTCCATGGTAGGCGTGCACTGGCCAAAGTCGGCGGCACCGCCAGCATTGCCTCCAGCGTTGCCTCCAGCGTTGCCGTTGCCGGCGTTGCCGTTGCCAGCATTACCGTTACCAGCGTTGCCGTTGCCAGCGTTACCGTTACCAGCGTTACCGTTGCCAGCATTACCGTTGCCGGCATCAGCGCCAGCTCCGGCTCCAGCATCAGGAGCAGGAGCAACAGCACCACAGCCGTTACCGGCATTGTTGTTGTTACCAGCGTTGCCGTTGCCAGCATTGTTGTCGCCGGCATTGCCGTTGCCGGCGTTGGCGTCCGTGCCGTTGCCAGCGTTGTTACCAGCTCCAGCGTCGGCTCCGGCTCCAGCGTCGGCTCCAGCTCCAGCTCCAGCTCCAGCTCCAGCTCCAGCACCGGCACCGGCACCGGCACCGGCACCAGCGGCAGCCTGGCCGTCAATCTTCAGATCCGAAAATCCGTTGGCGATGAACAGGTCGGCAACCGAGACGCCGGCAGCGTCAAGGGGCGTCTGCAGAGATGAAGCGCTGAGCTGGTTGGCCAGGGCCGAGTTGGCGACGGCAGGGTCAATGGCGGGCAGGATGCCGCGCAGGGCCTCGGTGGCGGGCAGGCTGGCGTCACCGCAAATGTTGGGAATGTCGGAGGTGAAGGGGTTGAAGTTCTGCTCGGCAGCGACGACACCGGCAGCGGCGGCAATGACAGCAGGGTCGTTGCCGAGGGTCGTGACAATGTTGTCAGCGAGGGTCAGCTTGGCGCAGGGGTCAGCACCGCCGAGGAGGACGCCGGGGACGCCGCCGGCGAGGGTGGCAGCCTGGCCGGACTGGCCAAACTGGCCGTCGAGGGCGGAGACGGCGGCGACAGGGATCTGCTCCTGGCCAAAACGGGCTTCGACGTAGGCCACGAGGGCGGAGATGAGGATAAGCTTGGCAGAGGCAGACATGTTGGATATGTTGACGAGGTTGGTTGTTGTGGTTGTGAGGAACGAAGTGAAAACTGATATTCTGTCAAAGAATGAAAGAGGCCGGCTAGCGGTTGTAGTTGGATAGTCTTGCGAGTGAGGGAACGTAAGAATAGAATGGAAAAAGAGTTCACAGAACCTAAAGATAGAAGGTAAGAGAAGGAAGGTAAGGAAGACCTGAGAGCGAAGGAAGACTTGATGAAGCTGGATGTGGATGAGGAGGGGGAGAGAAAGAAGCATAACTCGACGGATGGGATGGGACGATTATATAGGGAGAAGAGAAGTGAGAGGGTCGTCAAGTCGCATCTCGTCCCCCGGCATGCCTAGCTCGCCGGGCCTCATGTCCCACGGTCGATGCTGTCTGTGGTGGGTGTCATCCCAACTCGAGGCTTCGCTGTCGATCGGCTCCGACGCGAGGCGGAGGGACAGCAGGATCCGAAATGACGACGGGGATGCCCTGAAGTCGATCACACGGCCGCATTGCCAGAAGATGGTGCGGCAGCATCACAGATGCACAGGTGCCTGCCATCCCAAAGCTCGGTCTCATCCGACGGGGCTCGTCTCAAGATGACCCAAAAAGAGAGAGTTGATGCTAAGGCCGAAGAATGGCACCCTTGATACAGGGCGCTCAAAGAAGCGCGAACCCAAACGGGGGCGCTAATGGTTGGGTTCTCTGGAAGCGAGGTAGCGATGAAGCGCCTCGAACAGGGCCACCCCGGTCGACGACCAGCTGACAGACCGCCGTTGAGACGAGGGCGTCCCAAAGTGGAGAGAGCCGACAGAGTAACTCTCACCGAGGCGGCTCTGAAGCTTAAGGACGACAGATCTGGGCAGGCAAGGCACTCGGCAATCATCTGAGGACTGTCCTGATGAAGTCGAGTGTTCCGAGTCATAGGCGCGGGCCATCAGTCGTTGTCAAGGCCTCCGTTGCTGTGAAGCTGCATTAGCGGTCAATCTCAACTCGCTGTGAAGGTGAAAGTCAATCTGTGCTCATCAGACTTGGCAATTTGCAGATCCTCTTTTGTCAGCTTCTCTTTCGTCTCGTGGGCTGGGCGACGTGCGTCGGTCTCTCTCGCTCGAGGGGCGACGGCGGTGATGGCCAGGCCAGAAAACATGATCGTCGCCGTCCAGTCGCAGTGCTGCGACGCCAGCGTCAAGGAACCATGTCATGCTCCGCTCCAGGTTCCAGAAACGCGGCACGGGGGTTACGGGTGGAAGCAGGGTGCTCCAAGGTAACGTCGTGGGACGTGCATTGGTGTCTAGACCTGGACAACAGCGCGCCGTTGCAGCGGGGCTTCCTCGTCTTGGGGAGGCGCTGTTTTAAGCTCGTGGGGAGGGGCTCGGATTGAGGCTCGATCGGGCCATGGTTTGCGTCGAAATGCCAATATGGCTGGCGAACAAACGTTTCTCTTGGCTCTCTGGCCATGGTGAAGGTGCTTTTCCAGACGAGACTAGAGGTGTGCGGTTTGTGAATGTGGATGGCATAACAGAG